GAGAGCTTTCCTCCTCCGATCCTCCTCTTCTCCTCCCCGTCGGCTGTATGCGCACGCGCGGCAAGAGCTGCGCGCGCATTCAGCCGGTCACATAGGAAAGCATTCATAATGCTTACCTATGGACGCTGGCGTGCTCTCACTGTGAAAATCACAGTGAGAAGCACGCAAGTGCCTCTAGCGGCTGTCAATGAGACAGCCGCTAGAGGAAATAGGGGAAGGCTTAACCCATTCAGAAACATAGCAGTTTCTCTGAAACTGCTATGTTTATGAAAAAATGGGTTAACCCTAGCTGGACCTGGCACCCAGACCACTTCATTAAGCTAGAGTGGTCTTTAAGTGTGTGTGCATCTGCATGCACTGGCGTACATACCGCGGTCACAGGGGTCGCAGCCCTGTAACCTCTGCGACCAGGTGCCCACCGTCATGTGTTGCGGCCCGCGCGCGGGGGGAGGGGGGGGGGCACGGATCAAACTAGAGGGACGTGACACCCAGACAACTTCATTGAGCTGATGTGATCAGGGTGTCTGTAGTGGTCCTTTAAAGGACCACTATAGTGCCAGGAAAACATACTCGTTTTCCTGGCACTATAGTGCCCTGAGGGTGCCCCCACCCTCAGGGTCCCCCTCCCGCCTGGCTCTGGAAGGGGGAAAGGGGTTAAAACTTACCTTTTTCCAGCGCTGGGCGGAGAGCTCTCCTCCTCCGATCCTCCTCCGTTCCTCCTCCTGGGCTGAATGCGCACGCGCGGCAAGAGCTGCGCGCGCATTCAGCCGGTCACATAGGAAAGCATTCATAATGCTTTCCTATGGACGCTGGCGTGGTCTCACTGTGAAATCACAGTGAGAAGCACGCAAGCGCCTCTAGTGGCTGTCAATGAGACAGCCACTAGAGGATTAGGGGGAAGGCTTAACCCATTCATAAACATAGCAGTTTCTCTGAAACTGCTATGTTTATGAAAAAAATGGGTTAACCCTAGCTGGACCTGGCACCCAGACCACTTCATTAAGCTGAAGTGGTCTGGGTGCCTAGAGTGGTCCTTTAAGTGTGTGTGCATCTGCATGCACTGGCGTACATACCGCGGTCACAGGGGTCGCAGCCCTGTAACCTCTGCGACCAGGTGCCCACCGTCATGTGTTGCGGCCCGCGCGCGGGGGGAGGGGGGGGCACGGATCAATTTTCGCACCGGGGCCCCATGGGTCATGTGTACGCCACTGGCAGTAGGTATACAGTGTATGTATATTATATTTATATAGAGCTAACAGGTGTACTCAGCATTTTACATGTTACATTACAGTAGAGGGAGGTACAGTAAGTGCAGTAGGTATAGAGTGTATGTATATTCTATTTATATTGCTGTACCCAGTGTTATAAAAAATAAATAAATAACAATAATAAATATATATATATATATATATATATATACACACTTCAAGATTCTTAAAAAAATCATGGACTATAAAAGTTAATAAAGAAAAAAAATCACATTTTACTTAGACAACATTTCACTTTTTTTTAGACTTAATTCAGGAGACGGTAACATTGACTAAATAAATCATTTATTTGAAGACGTGCATGAAGAGCATTTCTTTAAAATATATATTTTTGTCAAACAGGACATTAATTTACAGTATGAATATATATATATATCTTGCAGCATGATATTAGGAAACTGTCATCTCCCCCTTCCTTATGAGTCCTGAGGGCTTTCTATTCACCGTTCGCTCTTATCGCGCATTGACATCAATATGTTTATGCTGTTGATCAATGCTCGTATTGACGTACCGATCCAGAAACTGGTCAATTTTAAGAGGACTCTAGTGAAAAGATTCACATTATAAAAGGAATGGTATTCTTAAAGAGCTGATTATGGGTCAATTTAATTGACAAGATATATTTATTAGCATACTCAAGGGCAATGAAGAAATAGTTGTTCAACTTGGAACATCTGCCTCATGTGTGACTGCATTTCAGATAATTATGTTTGTTTTATTAGTATTTAAGCTGAAGGATCTTCAGCAGCACTTAGCATTTTACCATTTAATAGGTTGTAACATTTCCCAACTAGATGCAGAGATTTTTAATGTATCTTTAAATTGCCACTCTAGTCATTCCAGCAGGTACCTATGCTTTTCAGTACAGATGACTAGCCTACCAGTGCAGTGAATTTTATTTTGTTTTTAATCTTTTGTGCTGTTAAGAACATTTTTTTTATGCTGTAGGTGAAATCTCCTTTCTTCAAGTCTGAGTGGATGACCTTGTGTACTTTTGTACAGTCCTGTTAATAAACAAAAATGAATGTGGCGGAACAGACCTCGTCACGTGTTCTTGGAGGGGGCTGCTTGCCTGTCTCCTACCTTCTGACTATGGCCCTGGGATATATGGCATTTGAAAACACTATTTGTGCCCTGTGACAAAACTGGAAATTGTGCACAAATATGACTATTGTCCATATTTTTTATGATTCCCTTCATTTGTTGCACTGTTCCCCATGTGTTTCATCTGTTGGTCCGGCTGGATAGACTACCAGACAAACTGTGGAGTTACTGGGTGGCCACCATTTCATGTATCAGAGGCACATGGTGAGAACAATGGATGAAGCACATGGTGAGAACAATGGATGGCGGCCATTTTAACTCACAGACACTGTTTGGACTTTTCAACACGGTGCCATCTCGCCGGTATTTGGTACACAAAGACATTGTGCAGTAGTTTTAAACTATACCACAGGGGACACATTATACAGTAATTATTTTTCATATAGCCTGTATATGTTCTTCGGAATCTGCATTAAACTGTATCTTCCAAACTACTGAACGGATCTGGGTGAATTTTGGATATGTGGTTCACCCAGATCCCCCGGTTCCGAGGATTTTTATGGGGTTATTGCATGTTTTGGGCTCCCTGTGATGTGTTTAATAATACTGTATTTCTCTGCCTGTGATAATTATATTAATCATTGTGTTCAGTAATCATATCACAGGCAGAGGGGAGGATTTTGTGTGGGAGTGTCTGTGTGTATTTTACGGATTGATTGGTTGTATTTCAAAACCCTGTGGGCAGTACTATGTTTGTGGATTGTGAATAAAAGAGGCTGAATGTGCCAGTACAGTCAGTTCTGCTTGACCTCAAAATGAAGTGACCTCTCGTTATTGGGGGAATTGGATTGTATGCCGATTGCCAGGAGTGTAAGCTGATTGTATGCTTTTCCTGTTCAGCTGCTTACAGCATTCATATGCTTGAGAGCATTTGTATGCTTCTCCAGTTCGGTGGTTGTGGTGTCTGCTGCAGTGCTTGGAGTCCTCAGGAAGCGCTAGGAGCATCCTTCAACGGAGGTACCCAGTCGGGGTGCCAGGCGATCCGTCACAATGAATATTTGTGGGTGTCATTTCAACAGCCCTGGGGTATTGCTGTTCTTCTCCCCAAATAGTCTCCATAACTGGCACCAAAGAGTGTTAAGGTTTGTTAGAATTCAAAGGGTTACGATCGTCATATTACCTGCATTGACAATCACAAAGTTATTTGTGGTATATGCTACAAATGCCTTCTTGTTACAATCCTTTTATAATCTAATATACCATTACAAGAGAAACTCGTTAATAATAGCATTTGCAGTTAATCCAATAGGTGTTAAATCTCCAACTTTTAAAGCTTTTGTCAAACTTAATAATAATAGATCTCACTTTCCATTCTCCATGTAATGCAAAACGAACCCTTTAATCCACAGGCCCAGAGACTCTGTCTTCTTAAATTGTAGACAGATGCTTTTAAATAAAGTCTTATAATCAGCTGCAGAATAGAATCTTTATATCCAGGAACAAAAAAAAATGATTGCCCAAGTCCTGCGTCTCCTTTTCTGTGACCAAATTAAAAAAGAAATATAGTTGATCAATTATCCGTGTTTCAATTATGCACTGCTAGGAGGTTATTCTCTTAAAGTAACACTCTAAGCACCAAAACAACTTTAACTTTGATGAAGCAGCTTTGATGTTTAAATCATGCCTAAGAAATCTCGCCAGGAGAAAAAAAAGAAAAAGGATAAAGAAAAAAGCGAAAAGAGTTCATAGAAATTCGGCAGCATCTTAGTTTAAACAGAAGAATGGGATCCAAAATGATATCCCTAATTTAAAATGTAGAAGGGTTAATTCTGCTACACAATTTACCATTTAATATATTTGTAGTCCCAGTCTCTCAGTTATCTACTGACCCGATATTAAGCAGTTGGATTAGAAAGTAACTGATTTTATTTAACTTTAAAAAAAAAAAAAATTATTCTTCATTTTTCCCATGCCACACATTACTCGTACAAGAAAGTATAAGCCACAGGTCACAGAGGAGAGTAAAAAAGATACACATAGTATTGTTGACAATATTCAGCTTATCTTACAATGGTAAAGAGTGAGAGTTGAGTAAGTTTGTGACATGCGTAGAAGTGTGGGATGAGGGTTTTAAATATAAAGGAAGGTGAACTTCTAAGAAGAGACCATATAGTGTTACCCCTTGTAGTGGGCTAGTGACAATTATGAGGTCTTTGAGTGTATCCATCACTTACGGGGGCACCCCCTCTCATGTGTAGTAGCATAAAGAGAGGTGAACCGTGAGCCCGGTAGGGTCTAACAGGATGGGGTGGGGGGTAGGTTGCCTATGAGTTGCATATGGCGATGATCAAAGCGTTAGGGATCTGTCTGGTCAGGTCTCCGAGCTGTCTGCATGCTGTAATGTGGTGGTGTAAGAGTTGCCCCTGGTATGTGAGTATGTTACACAACGGAGTTTGGTACATTCGTGATTGACCCGGTCATAAAAGAGGAAAGAAAAAAAAAACATTTGAAAAATAAGGAAGCAGAGAACCGAACAATCAAAGGAAAGCATTAGTAGATAATAGGTTCAATTCGTTGGTGTTACTATGTAAGTCCCGGTATAATGGGAGGCTGTCGTGGCTAGGGTGCCTTCCTGCTAATCGGTCACGGCCTTGGAAGTCAAGTTAAGTCTCTGGATGCTCATGGGACTTTAGCCAAGCGAGGTGTGAATTCCGGGATTTTAGCCAGGTCTATGCAAGCTAGTCCTGAACTAGTAGTTGCATTCGGGTTGAGGAGTTCTAGCTTGCTCAGTTGGTCTTCGAGTTCTTGAAGAGTGCCCACACAGTATGTTTCTCCCTGTGCCTGGAACCAGAGGCTTCTTGGGAGCCCCCAACGATAGGGGATGTCGTTTGCTCGCATGAGCTGCAGATGTGGGCGCAGAGAGCGGCGCCAGGCCAGTGTATTCCTGGTGAGGTCTGGGAATATCTGCAGTGTGGCTTCCTCGAACGATATCGGAGTCTTCCCTCTTACTGCTGCGAGGAGTAGGGCCTTGTCCTGCATTGACTGGAATCTGACAATGAGATCCGGCGTTGCGGATGGCAGTGCACTTGCAGGTTTTTGTATGCGGAACACACCGTAGAGCTTTATTGCCTTTGCCTGTTTGTGTGGCATATATGCTGCAGGAAATCGCCGTAGGAAAAGAGGTAAGTCCGAGATCCCCAGTTTAGCAGAACCCCTCTGGCTGTCCAGCATATTTCCTTAGTATTTCTTATTTGACCATAAAAGATTTCAGTATGAACTTATTGTAGAAACTTTCCTGTGGATGTATGATACCTTAATAGCATTCATCTGGTTGTTTGGTAAAAAGCCATACAAATCTTCACTGAACAGCTGCATTCACCATCCCTAACCAAAGTACCGAACAACTGGACCACCCTGAAGTGTGGCTGTAATTAACCTTCCTGTTCGTCCATTACATTCCCCTGGTTAAAAAGCACGAACGCTTTGCTGTAATCCCTGGGTAGCTTCCATTTCGGCAGCCAAACACGTGGCGGCGGCCATCTTAACACACGAACAGCGGTGTTTGGTCGTTGAGTGTCTGGAACTCAACTTGACTACCCGAACACCGCTAAGACCTCCAGAGCTCCAGAAACTACCGATTGAAACTCCTGAACGGCCGCTGTTCGGAGAATCCCACGAACCAGGGGATTCATCCGAATGCCAGCTCAACCCTGGATGGCATATATTTTCAGGACTTTCGACGCACGAACAGAGACCGACTGCAAGGCCAAAACTTATGGAACTGTTTTCGGCTACTTTGCCTGTGCGGTCGGTCAAATCTTTACTTCCACATAACTACAGAACCCTTGGTCCGATCTGGGTGATTTTTGAATATGTTGCTCACCCAGATCATGACTACCAGGAGATACCAAATTTAGGGGTGTCTAGTATATTTGGGGTACATTTAAGAATTGGGGAAAAATGTTTACATTTTAATTATGTTATCTGTTAAGCTAAGGGGAGGAGATGTGTGGAAGGTAAGGTCTATTTGATTGGGTACTGTAATAATTATTGTGGGTGTCTCCCTTGCAGGGGAGAACCGCATAAAAGCAGGGTATGTGAAATAAAGCCTCGGTTCTACTCCTGATATTGTGTGTCGTCCAGTTATTGGGAAAAGGTGATGGGATATTACTGGATTGTTTTGCTGATTGTGCCTGCTACTCTATTGGTTTTATTACTTGTTCCTGAGCCTTTCTGGGATTACCAGCGGAAATAGGCTGTGGGAAATCAGCTCTCAGCTACACCCAGTGCCTCAAGTACACCTCTAATCTTGAGGTGATACCATCTCCGCATATCCTCTAGGGCATCAAGCCTGCTTGTGGTGTTGACGTGCAGCTGCTCTAGTTCCTCGACCCTCTTCTCCACTGTGGATAGCCTGGAGTCGTGGGTGCTGTGTGCCACCTCCAGTTGGGCAATTTTAGTTTTTGCACCTTCCACGATCTTTTGAAAGTGGGCCATATCACCTGCTATATTGGTGCGGAGCTCCGCGAGCCTTGCTTTTAGCTGAGCGATGGTGACCTGTCTTCCAGCTTACGTGGCCTGGGTCCCGTGTGTAATCTGAGGGCAGCACCCTCCTCCGACTCAGAGAAAAAATTGTCTGAAGAGTATGAAGATCCCTCCTCGAGGGGCGCCATCTTGTCCCATGCGGCCTTCTGTGTACTGCGGAGCATCTCACCGATGTCCCGTTCTTATTTTTCTGACCCATATTGATTACGGTGCGTTGAGCAAGGTTTGTAGCCTTTTTGTTTGCCAGATAGCCCTTCTAAAACAGCCTTTTAGGGCAACTTATTTGTTTATGCAACCCTAAATGAGTCTGAAACTGGCAAAATTTATTGTAAATAAAATACCCACTTTTTTGGTCACTTCGATAAATATGATTGAAATAACGATGCAATTTAACTGCCAGTATTCAGAACTGTTGATATTTAACACTTTTTTTAAATTATTTTTTTTTTGGCACAATTTAGTTTTTTTCATCTGTTGTTTTTAACTGTCATTTAAAAAATATTTATATTTGCAATGGATTTATGATTTTTTTCTGCCAAAATAAATTTGTCAATTTTTGGAAATGATAATTTCTGTGTAAAGTGGTAGAAGTTGCTGTAAAGAAAACCATCACATTTTAGATTGCTTTAATAAATACAATCAACTTACTATATGAGTTTAACCATCACTTAGCCACTATTTAATTGTCACTTATAAGAATGTTTTGATAAATATCCCCCAGAGTGCTATAAAAATGAAATTTCAAATCTTAAGCTATAATAGCTGTACTAAAAACATAGAAACATAGAATGTGACGGCAGATAAGAACCATTCAGCCCATCTAGTCTGCCCAATTTTCTAAATACTTTCATTAGCCCCTGGCCTTATCTTATAGTTAGGATAGCCTTATGCCTATCCCACGCATGCTTAAACTCCTTTACTGTGTTAACCTCTACCACTTCAGCTGGAAGGCTATTCCATGCATCCACTACCCTCTCAGTAAAGTAATACTTCCTGATATTATTTTTAAACCTTTGTCCCTCTAATTTAAGACTATGTCCTCTTGTTGTGGTAGTTTTTCTTCTTTTAAATATGGTCTCTGTAACGGACCGTTTTGCACAAAAGGGGTAAAAACCACTTAGACGATAATCCCCTTTCAGAGACAGGCACAGCTACTGTAGAATCACCAAAACTCACGAACTGAATACAAGTGAATGCTCCAAACTCCCGAATGGCATACAAGGGAATGGTCCAAACACTCGAACTGCATACAAGTGAATGCTCCAAACTCCCGAACGGCATACAAGGGAATAAGGTAGCACTCCAAATACACGAACAGGAACCATATGAATTGCTGCTACCAGACGAACAGGAAAAGCTCTCAAGCGGCTTACACTCCTGGCAATCAGTCCTTAGCAGCATACAGTAAATCCCCCCAAAGACGAGACAGAGCTCCGTGTTGAGGGTCAAGCAGTGGTCTGTTTAATGAGGGCTACCTGCCCAGCTTTTATGCAGGTCTCCCACCTGGTGGACACTCCCCTAGGGGACCAAATGGGAGACTGTGACAAGGGACAGACAAGTAGACAAATAGGACACACAGTCACAGTATATTCCCACAATGCATCCTGGCTTCCTCCCCTCTGCCCTGAGAGATAATTGAGAAGTAACTCAATTATCTCCCAAGACAAAGGCAAAACTCCATTACACATGTGGGGACACAAAACCAGTATTATACTTTAAAATACATAAAGTAACATTTACTACATAAAACACAGACATGTAACATATCCCCAGATAGCTCAGGTCTGAGTGCACATTATTAGGTGAATGGCACTCAGACCACACGAATACAGTTTAATTGCCATGGAGCCAAAGTCTTTAATTACACGAATAGGCTCCATGGCATAGCTATCTGGGTTAAAACATTTCCCCCAACACAAAATACCGAATCTACATACATTCGTTAAATTGGTATGAATCAGAACCAGGGGCTGGAGGCTCAGCGGTGCTTAGCTGACACAGTGTCCAGATTTGGCGTAGGAAAGCCGGGCAGAAAAGCGCTGGCTGCCCGGGGAGCTCCAGAACATCGCCATTGTGTGGCGGCTAGGTGTAACCGCGACCACCCAGTAACAGTCTATTAAGCTGCGGTTAACCGCAGCTACTGGGTGGTCAATTGCCGGCACACGCTCGTTCAGGGAGGTAAATGGAGGGCACACGCCAGCTTCTGGGTGGTCAATTAACGGCGCCGGCCGACTTCCCACGGCTCTGGGGAGGCTGATAGAAGTCTGTTTGTTCGGTAGATAGAATCTACCGAACGGCTGTGCAGAAAGGAAGGAATAAATCTTTCTGCACAGTAAAATTAACCATTTAACTGCCAGTCCATAATCCAAAGGCAGCAGGCGGGCAACCAGGCTCCTCCAATGCAATGTGGCGAGATTGGTCTCGTCACAGTCTCCTCCTTTACTGTGTTGATTCCCTTTATATATTTAAATATTTCTATCATATCGCCCTGTCTCGTCTTTCTTCCAAGCTATACATGTTAAGATCCTTTAACCTTTCCTGGTAAGTTTTATCCCGCAATCCATGAAGCCGTTTAGTAGCCCTTCTCTGAACCCAATATATATAGTATAAAAACATCCTCTCCTTTAGGCATAAAGGAAAAAGAACATTCAGCAGGAATCAACATCGAAAAGATAATTCCATTCCACCATATTGACACTCAACATAAAGAAAGGTTAAAAGGAAGATTTTACCTAGAGCAAGGCCAGTAGAAGCATTTTTACGATTTTATTTTTAAAGCTTGCAAATTGATTGATTGATTTAAAATCAGATTGTTTTTTTTTCTGAGTTGAAATAATCAATAAAGATAAAGGTTTCTCTGAAACCATTTTACTCCTACATATCGATGTGTCTTATCATTATTCTGTTTGGAAATATTTTTTTTTTTAGCTTAAGTTATTTTTTATTTTTCTTGTTCTTTTTATGTCAAGTATAGAAAAATGATAACATTGTTTACAAAAAATGTATGAGTTCAGATAGAACCTTGCATAGCACTGTGACTATTGACTGTTCTGGCCAGCAGCTCATACATTTTACATACAGCTTTTTATTTTTTATTTTTTTATAATGAACTATTTTTTAGCATGATATGTGATATGTGTTCTTGAAATCGTGTTGGGAATTGAAAAAAAAGTTTAAATTCTGCATGTCTGTTGTTAAACTAAAGCTGATACTTAGAGGGTAATTCCGTGAGTCAGTTGTAATCACAATGAACACGGATCTCTGGTGCTTTATTGCAATCAATGAGGCAGGAAAGGACCCATCTGCACGGACGTTACCCTGTAATGAAAGGGACCTACTGACAGGTGATGCAG